TCAGATTTTCCTGCTTTTTCCCACAGCCATGAGGGCTAAACACTTAGTTAAAAAAACAAACCAACAATTTTCACATGACTCCATGAGCTGGGGCTTTAAGAAAAACACCAAATATTATGAGACTTGTGATGAAAGTATCAAGATGCGGCAAAACTGCACGGTTTGACTGGAGGGCCAAAGCCAGACAGAGCCGTGACACTTCTAGTGCTGCTAATCAAAGCTGTCCATTGCACCCTGCCGCACAAAAGCTCACACACCCCAAACACACCTGAACTTAGTCAGTGGTTTTCAGGGCTAGACAAACAAAGCTCCCCAGAGCGCCTGTCCTTGGCTGTATTTCCTAGTACCGGTCTCATTTTAATTGTCCTCTTTTGAACCGTTTCTCACTTTTCCAGAGACCACGGTTCTCACTGATTAAATAAAGGAAGGGAGAGAGGGACCCCTTCATATTTCACTTTCAACAAGCTACAACAGCCCCCTGCCTGGACGAGGGTAGGGGGAGGTTCATTTTATGACAGATCAATTGTAGCCAAGCTGTTTCATGTCCTGTTTTGCTTGTTAGAATAATGACCTGCTAGACATTCCCTGGCTGGCTGAACTACAGCCCGGTGCTTCGTGGTCTCATTACTGTCCGGCACTGTGTGTCTGATGGCAGTTAGCACCCAGGATTCCAGTCTGCGCACACAGCATTCCGCTACCAGCCACACACCGCTCTTCCCCATGAATGCTCTCGGATTCCTAGCTCATCTCAGTTTCTCTCCCCTTTACATCTTAAGTAGCTCTGTTCTCCTGTATTCTTTCTCACCTGCAGGGTTATTGCCAGGGAGACTGTTGCTCGCATAAGTTACTTATATCACCAGCTACATGAGCCCTGAATCATTCAGGAATCCCCAGTCATGCCAGAGGGGTCGCTAAACACAGAAATACCTGTTTGAGTTTCTAAAATCCATACAACCTATCTAGGTGCCATGCACCCCCACAATTATATGTTCTTGCACCCATATGTACATGGGCACATCCATGCAAGAATATATATGAAAATACCTACAGACTTGCACACACACATGCATGCAGATAGATACGCACACACATTCAAGCATGTATACACATGCACACAAACCCCTTCTTCCAAGCACACACACTCATGCACCCATGTCCAGGAAAACACCCTTCCAGTTCCTCATCAGAGAGTAAATAACAGCAGTGGATTTTTCTTTTGCATTTTTTGAATGTTGTTTTGGAGTTTACCCCTTTTCCTCTTTTCTCTGTCTTCCCCCTTTCTTTCATCTCACTCTCACTGACAATGCCTGGAGTGCTCTTTCCTTTCCTTTCCTGCTCCCCATCTCCTCACCCCAAACAAATACCTTTAGTCAGAACAAGTTCCTGCCTTAAGTACCTTCTTTGGAGGACTTCCATAGTCTAGAAGCTGGTCGGTGTATTTGTAGAGTGGGTCCAAGGAAATCCCTTCTCTAAGCTCTCTCATCCCCCATTTTTAACACTGAGAATAATTAACCATTGCAATAATTTACCAGAGGCTGTGGTGGATTCGCCATCACTGGCAATTTTAAAATTGGGATTGGATGTTTTTCTAAAAACTGTTCTAGTTCAACCACAGCTATTAGACTCGAAGCAGGAATTAACTCAGAGAAGTTTGCGTGATACAGGAAGTCAGACTAGATGATTACAATGGTCCCTTCTGGCTTTGGGAACTATGACTTTGTCTCAAGTGTCCACTGACTGCAGAGCCAGGTTATGAATTTTCCCTTCCTTACATGTGTGGTTTGCATTATCATTTGCTCAATATCTTAAGAAGCACCACTATCTATCTCACTTCACAGCTTCAAAATCAACCTGTGGCATGAGCTACAACCTGGCTAATTTCATTTGGCTCCTGAGATGGCTCAAAAGCATGATTTTACTGCCGCTGTGAATGTTTTTGGGGAACATTAGACCGACACCTGAGTCGACAGGGCACATATTGCAGCCCCTCAGTGGACCATGGAAGACTGTTGCCTCATGATAGCTACTTTCTTGCTGAACAGAGCTACAAGGAACCAAACTGCTTACTAGACTGTCCAGCTCAGGTGATCCAGTCCCCCTAAGCTGGCAGTCTGATGGTAGGTAGCTCCCTTCCCTGCAGCTCTGTTCAACCGGAACTAGGCTCTAATGGGACAACCAGCCTGCAAGGATGGAGAAAGAAGCACTACATCAGGGACTGAGGCAGTGATGAGGCTGCTAAACGCTCTCCAAATCCCTGAGCTGCTTAGAAGTACCTTGGCCACCTTCGGGTGGTATTGGTGCTGCTTGCTCTTGGCTCCTCTGGCCCCCGGAGGGCTGTGGTGTGAGACTGGGGGAATTACCCAGGTTTGCATGTCATTGTGGATCCTGCAAGTGCATTTTTCTTCCCTAAAGGTTTTTTTAACTGTTTTTATTTGTTTATTTATTATTATTATTTATTAATTATTATTCAGCGATTCACATCCTCCAAGGACATCATAAACCTGAATTAGCCAGCCAGATGGCTGCCACCGTCATGAGTATACAGAATGCCGCGCTCCCGCCACTACATGGGGTTCTAGCAGCTTCCTTTCTCAGTGCTGTGTGGGAGCTGAGCCCTCTGCTCATGATGTGGGCCCTGCCTCCCCTCTCCCTTCTTAGCCCTTTGCTTTTCCTCAGCCCCCTGGGCCGCCTCTGGTGGAGGCACCTGCCCAGTTCTCCCTGACTGTTCAAAACATAATTGCCAGCAGTTGAGGGTGAGGCAGTTCATTAGCAAACCTCGGGGATACGTCTCATTCCGACCTGCTGACAGGTGTATATTCTCCTTTGCCCAGCTCTTCCTTAGTTGCACTATACTGACCAGAGCTTTGTTGCTCCTTAAATCTCTATATGTCCTTTCTTTGTTTTTTCCTGCTAAAGATCATTTTGTAAAAGCTCTTCTTATGCCCCTCAGCTTCTTCAGCTGATGTGAACTTATTCCGCTCTTCTGCTCCCTTTAACTTCCCCCGACAAGCTTTCTCTTTGTATCTTGCCTGTGGCTCTCTAACTGTGAACCAGCCTTTATGGGGATGGCTGCAGTGGCACTCAAACACCAGACCCTGGAAACTTGCTTTCCTCTTGACTAAACGATCCCAAGCAACACTGGAAAGTTTCATAGTTCACCCCAGGAGTGACAAAGCTAGTCAGGACATAGTGCATTTGAACAGTGCTTCGTAGAGTACACGTTGCCACAGGACTGGTCTATTGGTCTGAGCGCAGTACTGGAAGCCAGCAGCACCTAAGCTCTGTGGCCTTGGCAAAGGCCTTGTATTGACTAGGAATTTGAAGACATGTTGTCAGTGTGTGTTAACTGATGACCATATTGGAGCCTAGGCTTCAACTTCACCAGCTTAGCACGTGTTAAAGTCTACACTGGACTTTAGAATGTCAGTTCACATATACTAATGCCATCCCTTGAAATCCCAGACTAGACAAAGCTTTGCATTTTCTTGCCACTTCTCCAAGTGCTACAACATTTCAGGAAGGGCCAGCAGCTCTTAGAATGCCCTCCCAGCAGGGCAACAAGGAGCATGTGTGCTTGCCTCTGCCAGGCTTTTGCAGTGAACCTGTTCCAATGACCGACCTCCTTTAAATGGAATTGTTTGACCATCTTTAGTTAGAAATAATGTTCCTATGATAAGGAAGAAGGGAACTACAGTATAGCTTTACCCAGTGGGTCCCTTGAGTGCCATCAAGCTGTGAAAGTCTAAACTGACTGGTGGCACTTTAAGGAGTAAGGCAATGACTTACAAATAGATGGGAACCGCATCAAGTGCACAGGGCCCATTTACATTAACCGTGCAATGGAGAAGGCTAGCATTATCTTTGATTGCAGAGCCTGTGCGGGGTAGCACAGGGCCCCAGAGTTGCAATGGTGAATAAAACAGGGACATTTCATTCAATTTCCTGTTCCTTTCTGTGATTGAACGATGGGAAAAGAACAACAACAAAGTGGAATGATTTGACTTGGCCTGACGCATGGCCAGGCAGGAATGCAAAGGGTGGCAAACAGTAGAACTAGTCAACTAACAAAATAACGGTCTTGCTGATAGATTCACAAACTGGCTGATTTCAGTCTGCTGCTAATATGGGGCTCACAGAATTCAGACCATAGGTGTTCATGACCTTGGTTGTATATCTTGGACACATCGGGGTACAGCCCCCCAAAAAATTTCCTCCCGAAATTCATACTTTGTTCTGTTTTGGTCCATTTTGTTTTTCCAGTAACCTACATCTTTTTTCCTCTTTGAAGTGATGTTAGTTACTATGGGAACCACAATGTGATTCTTAATGGGTGGAGCTTTGCAGCATCTATAAGCATAACATAAAAGTCCAGCAACAGGAGAGTTTGAAAAGTAGTCGTTCGGTTGGGGGATGCAGGAGTCTGTGTGTAAAAACACCCTGTGCAGTGCTGGCTCTCGTATAAAGGGCATTGGGGGCACTGCCCCACCAAAATAGCACCCACACCAAAATAGCACCCACATATTATGTGTGTGTGTGACTCAAAAATCTAACGAATGTCACAGGGCATTCTTTTCCATCACCCCTGAGGCACATGCACGATAATGATATACAAAGTCTGAGTCAGATTACAGTGGGGTTTGGGACACTGGATTCACCGCCCAAGCCCCAGGATGTGGTGACCATAGAGCGCGCTAACATGCTGAACTCTAATTGCCCTGTGGAGACCCTGCTGGCACATTTTAAAACATACCTCACTTGCATTGCTGTAGTGCCATTTCAAAGTTTTTATATGCACAAACAACTTATTTGGCCAAGCAAATGGCATTTGTTCTCCCCGGTAGGGCAATTCAATCTAACCTGCATGCAGAGACTTTTTTTTTCTGTATGTACAACTTTGTGCCTACAAGACTACAGGTGCATAATTTAAAGGCCACTTCTGAAAATGTATCTGGGTGGGTCTATTCCTTTGCTTCATGGAATGCTGTGATGCCATCTCAATGCAGCTCAGGAGGGGGAGGGGAATTAAACCAAGGTTCAAAAAGCACGGGCCACTAGTCGGTATCTCGCCAGATCCTTCCTGGTCACCAGCCCGACCACCTCATTGTGATTATCCACCACCACCAAGTGCCGCAGGCCCAGCGCCCGGAACAGCTTGAAGACCCTTGGCAGAGATGCCTCCTGGGGCACCGTGTAGGGTGACGGGTTCATGAACTCAGTCAGGTCCATCATGCATTCGCGCTCGTCCTGGGAGACGTGAATGGACTGGATGGGGGGGAAGCGGGGGTAGGCATCCCGGAAATCCTTCAGCTTCAGCCGCCTCTGAACCAGGGTCAGGTTAGCTCTTTCCACAAAGACCTTGTGCTTCAGGAGAACAATCAATTGGGAGCGCAGGGTCAGGCCTCGCAGTCCCGCCAACTGCGTGGGGTCCGGGCTGCTCTCTACCACGGGAAAGCCGTTGTGGTTGGACGATGTGTCGCTGAGGATGTCCACGACCGTCCCCACCTTCTCAATCCTCCTTAGGCAGGTCACGGGCGCGCTCATCACCTCCCTGGCAGTGAGGGAGTGAGACGTCACTGGAGCCTCCCAGTGCAGGAAAGGAACGCTCTGCAGCTGGATGTGCATGTCATACAGACCCTCCACGAAGTAGTCGCCCACGATCTTAGCGGTCATCAGCGCCAACATGATGGGGAATCCGTAGGTGACGTTGCCCGTCGCTTCCATCATGATGACGGTCAGGCTCAGGGTCATTCTCACTATCCCCCCCAGCTGCGCTGCGGCCCCCATCAGAGCGTATTTCCCGGGGTCGGCCCAGATCGCTCCACTAGTCAGGTAGGCCAACGATATGCCAAAGAGTCGTCCCCAGGCAGCTCCAATCAACAGGGAAGGGATGAAGACACCTGTCGACACGGTGAGCCCATAGGTCCAACAGGCCAGAAAGAAATACATCAGGGTGAACATTCCCAGGGTCATGGGATTGTAAGATACAATTATTTTATGTCCTTGCAGCTTGACTTGATTTAGGGGATGTGTACCTAGCAAGCCCATTGCTTTATCATGGACCTTCCACTGTTCTGTTTCACACCACACGCACATGAACCTTGATTTACCAGCACTCCTGCCAGGCCTCATGTATGCTATTGGAGACCACAGATCATCACCATACTGTGTAACTAATGTCATTGATACAGCTGATGCTGTCGGTACAACAAAGGTGAAATCTGCATGCCCATCAAGGCTCCTTTAGGAAACAGGAAGAAAACATTTCTCTCCCCTCACTCGTCACTGCTGCTTTCCTTTTATGTTTAAGGTCAATCACTGACTAATGCTGATGTGACTGCCATTATGGTCTGCTGCCAAGGTGCTTGGGAGATAAGACTCAGCTTATCATGTTCCAATCATAAATGTACCTGCGCAGGGATAGAAGCTCTTAATAAGAAATGGGGCGGGTGTCAGCCGCAATTTAAGTGACTGCTCAACAGAGAGCTCCCTGTCTCAACCTTGCTGGAGCTAATTTGTTATCATGGGCCACATTGATTAACTAGAACTAGAACTAGTCAAAAATTGGAATTTCCATCCCATAGGAAATTCTGGTCTTTTTTGAGATTTTTTTTTTTTTGGTCCCAAATTGAGACAAAATGTCAAAATATCAACAATGTTCCTGGAATGGAAAGTTCAGAAAATTTTAATTTAGAAATATCAGAATGTTTCATTTAGGTTTTGAGGAACCAAATCAGAATGTTTCATTTTGTTTCCTTTTGACATTAGTCTGTGTTTCCCAGAGCTGTCACAGTGCTTCATGGGAGTTGTGCATAGAGTGTGTGACACCCTCATTCCCCTCTGTGGGCCAGGCTACCCAGCTGAACAACATCTCCCCTGATGCACCAGGGCCAAGGACCTTCCATGATGCTGTTCAACCCGAGAGGAGACTATAATACAGCATGGGAAATGTAGTTCAGCTGGGAGCCCTGTCCGATAGAGGAAAATGGGGACTTGAAGCATACAAACCGCAGCTCCCATGAAGCACCACAGCAGCTCAGATAGATACAGATTAATGTTGAACTGACCCAAACCAAAATATTTTGATTTGATTAGGCAAATCAAAATTGTTTCAATTCTGATTGACCCAACCCAGGTTGGCCCCAACCAGAATATTTCATTCAGATTTTCCTGACAGAAAATTGAAAAATGTCAGCAAAAATCAAAATTTTCCCATGGAAAATTTCAGTTTTGCAGATACTATATTTTCCATCAAAAAACAATTTGGCAGAAAACTCCCAGCCAGCTGTAGCTGGAATTAAAAGGGAATGGCCCAGCAAATATGAAAAAGGCATGATAACGGCTTCACACTTATAAATGTGGTGCATGAGTCTCCCATGAAATGGGGAGTTTGGACAAAAAAGCAGCTTTCAGAGACCTTGCCCTCAAAGGACAGTCTCTTTTTGTGTACTGCCCTATGTTCTGAAGCTGGAATGCTTCCAACTTACTATTTCATTGATTGATTGATGTCGCTGCCACTTGAACCCTGCTGTTCTGGGGATGGGATTCCATGAGAAATCCCAAATCATACGGCTCAGTGAATCTCCACTGTTACTTTTCTAACTGACCACCAGATTGCCGCAGACACAACTGTATTGAGCTGTCTCGTATCCAAAAGTTTCAAAAGTTTCATGAATTAAGTGTCACACACTCCCCTCAGATAGGTAAGTATCATTACCGTTATTTTGCAGGTGGGGAAACTGAGGCACAGAGGTTTGGGCACTCGCCCAAGGCCATAGTCAGTGGCAGAGCTGGGAACAGAGCCCAAGAGTCTTGTCTCCCAGACTTGTGCTCTAACCACTAGAAACACTGCCTCTAGAGCACTGCTTTGCTGAGCTAAATGAACACACATTGGCAGGAGTTGCTACAGGGAGGTTCATAGACACCAAGAGGTATTTCCTTTCCACTGTGATTCAAGAGGAAAATGTGTCTGTGTTTCACTGGCTAATTATAACAGGTTGGCTATTAGGAAAACCTCTCAGCCAACAAGTGTTGAGGCACCAGCTTGGAAATGGTACAACTAATGAACTAGGTACCAGACTCAGGCAAATGCCTGCAGGGTGAAAAGTGTGTGTGTGTGTGTGTGTGTGTGTGTGTACCACTAATGAGACAGTGAAGGCAGCAGTTTCTGCTAGCAGCACGCGTTATCTGGCCATATGGTGCAGCACATGAATTGTGCTTGTAATTATGATTGTAAGTAGACTACATCCAGGGGGCACCATCCATGGAAGGAAGCCTTCACTCTGAGCACTGTCTATGATAAAGACATTACGTGTTTTAAAAGGGCCCAGGAACATATCTCTTAGAAGAGAATGGACATTATTCATGTCCTAGCCCAGAGACAATACTTCCTCAGGAGGGGCCATTGGAGCTCAAACAACCAAGCAGAGAAATTGCTCTACATAATAAACCCTTTGTACACATAGCAACATCCATGGCAAACAAAAGCCACAGGTAAAGGGTTCTGTTTTAATTTGTTTCCTAGGAGTGTGCACACAAGCAATGTATTCTTTTATTTGGATCCAGACTTGATGGCTCAGGCCTAGCTGTGTAATAGGCCAAAACCAGAACCCAAACGCTTCTGAAGTTTGGGGAAGCTTGTATTCTGATCATCCCAGCTATGAAATTAGTGCTTCAGCTTTTTCTTGAATACAGTACAGATATGGCATCTTATATACGTTATAAAGGCAGCCCTGTCTATTTCTTCAAGCTCTGTTCAATATTGTGGAGTAGAAACTAGGGAAGGGCTTTGTCTTGGTTGATTAGGAAATTTTTTTAATGTGGCCACTGCATCAATTTGATCTTTTTGTGAATGGATTTTTAAACTGAATGGCATATGCACCCTCATGCCTCGGATGGGATCTCTTTTTAAACTGAAATAAATATATGAGAGAGAAAGAGTTTATTCTTATAAACAGCAATGTTAAAAAATTGAAGAATAAAACTCCTTAATGAGGACACTAACACCCAGCTCTCCCTTAGCTTGGTTAAGCTATATAAGGCATTCACTAGACCTGGTTAGCTTTCCACCTGTAACTAGTCTTCATCGTCCCAAACCAGAGTCCAATGATTCGCTAATCAAGCACCAGGATTGGTCCCCACATCTTCCCCGCCTCCCTCCCCGCCCCCAGAAGGTATAAAACTATCACATTCCAGCTCATGCTCTCCCAGTTGTTACTGAGTGTCAGTTCCTAGGAAAAGCTTCTAGGCAGGGGGGTGGGACGTAAATCCTAGGTTGCTAGGAGGAAAACACTGACTATTTAATTGAAATTAGACATGGGGCTATAGATCCAACTTCTCACTGTGTTACAAAAACAAGCCAGGGTGTAAATGCTGCAGGGAGAGGCTCTGAGCAAAAAGCCCTCGGCAGAGCAGCCACTTCCTGCTGCAATTGGTTTCTCATCTACTTTCCTGAGGGAGAAGCAAAAACATATCATCCACTACGACCTTTGTTCCTTAAACTCCCTACAAGGAGAACTTTAAAGTGTCTAAGGGATTTAAACCAACCCACATGCTGCCTGGCCATAATTAGCAGTTGCACTGTTATCAACCTGTTGTAGCTCAGAAAGCTTTAAAGGAGCAGCCCCCCTGTCTAACATAGCCCTGGAGTGTTCAAGTAATTTTTTTTTTTTTAGGGTAAGTCAGGGGACAGAGAGACTAGTGACAGACTGAGCAGCACCAGAAAGAGTAAAGCTTTGTTCTGATCCGAATCCCAGGGATCTGATCTGCATAACAGTTCAGAGGGACCACAGGCCTGATCCAATATGGCAAGTCCTATGTAAAGCTTCAGAGAAAGGGCCCTCATGAAATGCCCCCACAGTCCTGTTGGTGTCCTTCGCGGTAGATCAAGGCAGGGCTCTGTTATAATGGAAATAAAACACATTCCTTTTTGGCACAGACAGGCCCTGGATCTCTAGCTGCCAAGTTAGTGACATAGTCGACTAGCGCCACATGGGGTTTTCCTAAATTCTGGTCTTGGCGGTCCAACTGTGGAAGGGTCTGCTGACTATACCACGCTACCTGTTACATTTGATGCAGTATCTAAGGCTTTAATAGAAAGTTCTCTATGAAGGGGTCCTGCCTAACACTTTACCCAGATGCTCCATCAGTCCTAGCAGTGAGAGAGGCTGCCTGGAGCTGACTGTCACACAGGTTCGGTCAGGACTAATGTTCTAGCAGGATGAGTGCTAAGTAACCTTTACACGCTCCCTTGTATCTGCCAAGAAATGCAGGAAGCGAGGGAAGCCTGACTGATTTCCTAGGGCACTGATAATAAGCTAATCCTTGATCATTCCAGTTCAGCACATCCTCCCCAGTGTGTGCATCCTCTCCTCTGGGATGTTTCCAGCACAGAAGCATCCAGACAGGGAAGGGACTTACGTAGGAACTGATGTCAAAATGGCCAATGCCCTAGAGCTACTTTAAATGCACAACTCAGAGATCCTGAGGGACAGCGAGTAATGTCAGAGCCAAACTACCACAGCGTTCAGTACCCACAGCACTTTCCCTGGGATGCCTTACAGCTAATAGGCCGTGCAATTTGGGATCATAACCCAGATGGCAAGTGTCAGAGAGACCCCAGAGACTCCAGTAATTGGCCACTGGGGCAAGGGCGCTATGCGACTCTTACCCACATTTGCTGTGAATGGAGATCATTTCCAGGCTCCTTTCTCAGAGATGGAATAAATCACTCCCCGGCTGAGGGATGCCTGCTCACCCGATAATACCCAGGGCCGGCCCTCTCTGCGGAATAAGATTTGTTTCTGAATGGTCTGTCTCTGCATGCAGAGGTGATTAATGGTTCAGTTATGAATGTGCTAGAGCACCAGCAGCAGACTGTTCCCTTAGAAAGGGGTGTGCAGCCGCACGGGCCAGAAGGAAGGGGGCTGTTCCTCTTAGACACCAAAGCAAGATGAATATGTCACTCACCAACATGTAAGCACGGCCGGTGC